AGAACACTAAACTGATACCTGTGTCTTGTACATTTGCCTTCCAGTGCCAGAAATGCTGTTTTTCCAAGCCATCGGATTGGTTTGCAATGATGTTGTTCTGAAGAGTATAAACAATCCAAAAGACCAACAAGAAATGGATAGCGCATGCAGAATTCCAAAAGGGTACCAGTACTAGCATCATAAGGTGCCCATGTTTTCTCCCTATGCATACTCCTTTCTACGAAGCACACTGTCTCATTTTGAAATTATCAGAACATCACACGAGGATGTGGGAGCACGTTCAAATTGCCTGACTTCAGTGAGGACTGTCTAGAAGGGACACGTTGTAGTAAATACACTTGACCAAAGATCAGAAAGGAGAGAGAAGAAAAGTGATACGTTTGTGAGTAGGGGTTCTGATTTTTATCTTGTGGGTATTGATTGTAATTCTATGGGCTCTCCAAATTCCCCTTAGATTTAGAAGAAGATGGTAAGGAGAGCCAATTCTAGGACCATGCTTAATTGACATCATCAAATGACAGGCAGCCAAAAATGCACCTTGAATGGACTGTGTAGCCTTTTGCTCTCAAGTCCCACATCCCCTCATTATGGTGGAATGTGGCGTGATGGATGGTGCGATATAGCCAGTAGATGGGGCCTCCAGTCCAGGACTGACTCTACTGCCCACGAGCCATGAACGCTTCAAGTACAACCGAGAGAATAACGTCTTTGTCACTTCCCTTTGGGAGAATCAATGAGATCATGAAGGTGGAAATGCTAGGAAAATGTAAAATATAGACCAATGATATTACACTGTAATTATTCAAGTTTAGGGCATGGTAACCAAACTGCCCTTATTATTCCCAGCGGCCAACCACTAACTCATCTGTGACTTCCCTGGCTGCCCAGGCAACACTGGGTTTGGTCTCTCACTAGCTCAGCCATACTCGGTATTACAGCAATTAGGTTTTCTTTTGGGAGCCATGGATATGACCTGGCTTTGATCCTAACTTCATAGATATCCACTATAGCACAGTATACCACTATCCTAAAAGAAATGGTACTCTCCAATTCACATTCTTCCAATGTCATGGTCAACGTGTTCTTGAGCCCATTCCTGGAACAACAACTCTGGGTCTTCTGATCATTCCCCACAGAGGTGAGTGCATGTACAAGGTGTATGGGGGTGGGGATGGGGAAGTGGGAAGGGGCTGCGGAGGTGGTTAGGAAACCTCTCAGTTTAAGTCAGGTAGGAGATCAGCACCAGAGTAATAAAGGCAAGAAATAGCACCCTAGTTTGGGCCAAAGAGGGAAAGGGATGTGTGGGGCAAGAAGAAAAGTCCCACACTTCCAAATAAAGTGACTGACTAGTTTTGTTACCTTATCACCCTCTTTCTTCATCTTGCCTCTACATCCTGGTGTTTTCCAACTACTGCTGCATATTCAGATGATCTGGGAACTTCTACTTTTTTTTTTTTAAGTGTATTTATTTGTTTGAGAGAGAGAGAACACACATGTGGGGGGGTGTTGCAAAGAGAGAGAGAGAGGGAGGGAGGAGGAAGAGTCTTAAACAGACTCTGGGCTGAGTATGAAGCCCAACAGGGTGCTCAATCTCATGACCCTGAGATCATTCCTGTGCCAAAACCAGGAGTCACATGCTCAGCCGACTGCATCACCCAGGCACCCCAACCTGGGATATTTTAAAAACTCCCAGGCTAGACTAGAGACTAATGATCAGAATCTCTGCCCATGGGATGCATGCATCAATAGTTCTGACAGCTCTCCAGGGATGGCAATGATCAGCCAAGATGGAGAACACAGCTCTGTTCCATTTCTTCTCTACTCACCATCCCCCAAGCCACCCACCCAGAGGACCCTGGCCAAATCCCCAACAAATGTTATATGACATAATGCACGTGCTTCAGAGTTAAAAAGAGCTGACTTCAGACTTGACTTGGCTATTCACAGATACCTGCCCTAGTTTCATGACTTCTCTGAAGCTGCAGGTTCTAATCTGGGGAGTAACAGGGGTTTATGACAATGAATGTAAATAACAGGTTCTCAGTACATGTTAGTATCTTTTTTCCCCCCATAAATGTAACGTCACAGAGATATTTTCCATGTCCTCAAATTACTGTTTTTTTCTCACCTCTTAGGAAAGCTCCCATTCATTTAAAGTCTAATACTTTCAAAGTTGATCTTTCTAGGTATATTTGCTTACTAGCCCAAAGTAATAAGGAATTAGTAAGACTTCAGGAGTTATTAAAGATACTGGTTTCCTGGATTGGTCTGAGGTGAAATTCAGGTATGATGGTTAATTTTAATGTGTCAACTTGGCTAGGCTATGGTATCTGGGGTTTTGGTGAAATACAAGTCTAAATGTGGGTATGAAAGTATTTTTTAAATGTAATTTGCATTTAAGCCAGCAGACTTTAAGTAGATTAGCCTCCATAATGTGGGTGGACCTCATCCCAACAGTTTAAGGCCTTAAGAGCAAAGACTAGTTTCCTGAAGAAGTACCAGTTCTAAATTTCTCTCTCTGTGTCTCTCTCTCTCTTTCTTTCTATCTATCTATCTATCTATCTATCTCCTATTGATTTTGTTTCTCTGGAGAAGTTTGACTAATACACCAAGGATCCTCAGAAGGGCTTCGTAATGACTTTTGCTATGCCCATTTCTTCCTTTTCCTCCTCTCAGGAGAGGGACGGAAGCTCTTTTCCTTTCACCGTTCTGAAGCTGGTGATAATTCTATCCCCTACACTGAGGTTAGTTTAGGAGAAATAATTAAATAACAGAAGTTAAGTACTGTAATGGTATTCAGCATTTAGGTTTTCATAAAATTTTATAAATGTGGCTTTCATGAACATGAAATGTCATTTATATGAACTACTTATCATTTCTATATGAGTAGCACAATCATGAGTCTCAGCATCTTTAAATGTGTGTGGTTAAATTCTATAGCTTTTCTTTGATGCCTACAATATGGAGTCTTCACATGTATTGCAGGTTATTTAACAAACCCCAAAGTTTAAAAGTATTAGAATCCTCAATTTTCTCCCAGTGAGAATGCTAAGCAGAGTTTAGAATCCCCACCTGCTTGTGGCCACCAGAAAAAATGAAGACAATAGCAGGGATTTGAGGGATACAGAGATATTTTGGTCAGCATCTTTTAGTAGGCTTTTGAGAGTACTTCTGACTTGACTTGACTTTCCCCCCTCCCCCCTCCCACTCCTCTCCCTCCTCCTCCCTTCCTTCCTCCCTTCCTACTACCTTCCTTCTTTTTTTTGAAATCAAGAAATAGTTTTCTCCTAAAATTCATATACTGTATCACTTAAGGGAGAAACTAATAATGACATTAAATGTGTGTTGGTGCAATTTTCAGTAAATGATCCCAAAGATACCAGGAAGGAAAGAGAAGATGCTCCTTTCAGTCAACACTGGTATTAACCATTGTGTGATAAAGTAGGTAATTTTAAAATTCCAGTTAATTCTAAAGACCTTGAAAGTCTGTGTCTTCATTCAACATTATTAGGCTCCTACTGACCTGTTTACTATTCAATGCTGTGAATATTAAGCATTTTACCAAGTTGTTATTGTCACAGGCTACCGAATATCAGTTAATACAAATTTAAAAATTATCATAAACATGCGCATTGACCAAAACAAAATGTGTTAACCTCTTATAATTTTTAAAAATCAAGATGTACTTTTTGTAATATCAAAATAGTTTAGGTGGCACTGTTTTGCCAAAATGTGCTTCTGCTTATCGTACAACCCTTTTAGTATTTTGTTGGTAATTTGGCAAACCTCTTAAACCTGAACAAGATGAGGATTTTGTGCTTCTATGTTTATAGAAAGAGTGTATCAAACTGACAAATTTGATAATCTTTAAAAAAAAGAAAAAGCCGTTCTCATTTCAAAGGTTCAAAAACTAAAGGTTATTTACCATGCAGACCTAGACTTCTTGTTGTTTTTAAGATAGCAAATGAGAAAAACATGGCCGGAGTTAGAGGTTACTCAATCAGGTTGAAGCTGGGACTTTTATTCCAGCAGCTCCTGTTCCCCAAATTACATCTGATAACATCCTAAAGTCTAAACATATTTTAGTTCAAAATGATACTCAGCTCTTAGATATAAAATGTCACTAAACTTCCAAATATCAACAGGTTTACCCTCTTTGGCTGAGGTATTTGTATTCGGAGCAATCTGTCACTCTGCCTCGGAATCGTAATATGTGAGGAACTAAAACTTTGAGCTGGGAAGTTTGTTTTGCATTTTCCTATGCCTAATCACAGGACTGGGATGATAATAAAGGAGTTGGTGTATTGGCTACTGCTGAGGCCTATTATTTAGGCAGAGTCATGGCAAGGGAGCAAAGCCGAATGTGTGAAAGTGTAAAATACATTTCAGCCTGTATTATGTTGGATAGAAAAGAAGAGAGTGTGTCAGGAGACACAAGGAGTAAAATACCCGAAACTGTTTGAAATGATCCTCACACTTGAACTGAAACTGGCATCTATGTTTCTCAACAATTCAAAAAAAGATTCATGGTAAGTATTCGCCTACGGCAGCTTCGGATATGTTACTGTCTGGATGCAAGATGGCACCCGTAAACTTAAAACTGGCCATGTTCCATTGAACTCCATGTCAGAGGGAGGAGGAAGCGGGAAATGGCGGTGCCCTGAGGATGTCCACATGGGTGGGCAAGCATGTGCTGCTGTGAGCAGAGGAAGTGGTACACCAAGATTTCTTCATAAGTGCGAGGTCTTTATGAACTCATCCTCAGGGGGGCTGTTTTAAATAGAAAGAAAATGACACACAGTCCCCCACTGGGCTTCCTAACTGGAGAGAGTTGCCACTTTGCCCAAACATGAGGTTACTGTGGGGGAATTTTCCAAAACTGTCAACAATTCCATTTTTAACCTCGGCTCTTCCTCGGCATGTAAGAGAGATGCAAGGCAACATGAACTATATTTGGTCTAGTGGGAGACAGAAGTTATTTTCACTCTGCTGACTCCTACCTGACAGTGGAAGACGTATTCTGGTGTGGTTTTCTTAAACTTCATGTTCCAAACCAAAGCCACACCATCTGGTTCATGGGGAGCGTCCTCGTTGTTGTTGTAGGAAGCAACCATCAGCTCAGGGTACTGAACGGAAGAGGTCACAAGGATGAGTTACGTCAAGTTGCCGACACAAAGAAAACTCTCTTATTCTTATAGACAGATGTTATATTACGTCATTTAAATGGCACCTTTTTAGGAGTTGTGGCACGCTTAATACCAATTACTGCTTCACCCTATTGCATTCTGGTTTCTGCTTCCAGTGTTCCACGTGGGCTTGCGAGCGTCACCAGTAACTGCCATATGCACACATTACTCGACCTTTCTGCATTCTCTCTTGGACTACTCCCTTCTTTCTCCTTTGTTGGCTTCCATTACACCTGTCTCTCCTGATTCTCTTCCTGACCATTCCTTTTAGTCCCTATAGAGTCTCCTTCTAATACCTATATTCCACGGAGGGTGGTGGGCTGTTTTCTGCCCTTTTGGGGGGTCTCTGTCAATACGTTCTTCCTAGGTGGTCTCATCTACTCCAATGGCTTTAATATGCATTAATATGCTGAAAAATGTCCAAATCTGTATCTCCAAGCTTGATGTCTCTCTCAGCTGCAGAACTGCATACTGGAGATTTCTCTGAGTCGTCCATAGACATATCACTTATGCATTTAAAAAAATGAGCTTCTTGCCTTCTACAAAACCTCGTGCTCTTCCCATGTCTCCTCTTTTGGGTGCCTTCCACTACCGTTCACCCACCTGCCCAAACCACAGACACTCCATGTTCATTTTTACTCCTTTCTCTTTCTTATCCCCATGTACTGTGTTATACTCCTGTCTCAGTACCTTTCAAATGTATGTTTTCTTTCATTCCTTAAGGTGAGGGTCTCCTCAACTACTTTTCTTTCTTTTCTTTTTTTTTTTAAGAGATTTTATTTATTTATTTAACAGAGAAAGAGAGACAGAGAGAGAGAGCAAGAGAGTGTAAGTAGCAGGGCTGGAGGGAGAGGGAGAAGCGGACTCGACTGAGCGGGGAGCCCAATGTACACTTGATCCCAGGACCCTGCGATCATGACCTGAGCTGAAGGCAGATGCTTAAGTGACTGAGCCACCCAGGCGTCCCTCCTCCACTAATTTCTTATCTGAATCAAGGCAACAGCTTCCTGAATGGCTTCCGGCTGGCAGGCTTGCCAGCCCCACCCCTCCCCTATTCCACTCTCTATCCTTTGTCAATGTGACTTTACAAAACATACAGTTGGCTAAGTCACTCCTCTGCTCAAAATACTTTAATGGGGCGTCCTCACTTTCCAGATTAAACCCAGGTCATATAAGGTCCTTCGTGATCTGTCACTGTCGAACTCCTCTGCTTCATCTCTTACCACCCCCTTACCTCCTCTACCCCACACCCTAAGTCTCTGCCTCATGGGCTAGTTCTGAGGTTCACAGGACAGCCTCTGTGCCCAGGAGTTTCATAATCACTCTTCATGGGATGCCTCGTCTGTGTTGTTTCTAACAGTAACTCACAGATCAAATCCTCCAGACAATCCTGATGAGCCAGCCACCACCCCCACTTCTCTCTCACAGGCTTCCTTAGCATTATGTGTGTTCCTCCGTTAAAGACCTTGTCAAACTGTGCCATGGTTTTTGTTTCCCACTTATGTCTCTTAGTAGTCTGTGAGCTGTCTCTGAGCATAGGGACTTATTTTTATTAACTTCTAAATCTAGTGTCTTATAACTCCTAGCACATAATCAACTATGTCAAAATCTATTAAAATACAAATGGTCTTTTTATTTTAGTGACTCTGCTCTCAGTAGAAAGACCTTATATTTAATCCTGTGTTGTCAAATAATGCCAACAATTAAAGGCATAAGTGTAAGAACCACAACCAGTAAAATAATGACTCTCAAGTGACTAGAAATACGTGCTTACCCTGTGTGAGCTCTGTGCTGTGTAATTAAACAAACGGGGGAGGAATCTTGGCGGGGGGTGGGTATTTCTGAGAGTGCTTTCATGAAAATGCCATTCCTACCTGGCGTTCCCATAAGGCAGCCCCATTAGAAACAGCAACAGGATTATAGCAGAGCATATCAACTCTTTGCTTATAGATGTCTTCATTTTTTCCCTTCCTTTTCACTAAGCTACATACATATTTAACAGGAGAAGGCCCTTATACATGGAAACATCCACTTTTTTTTTCTGTCAAAACTGATTGAAGCTGAGTCTTCATTTGTTCAGCAGCCTCAACTTAAGAAAACTGGAGGGAGTCACAACTTGCTGGCTGATGCAGAGGAAGGAAGTATGATCCTACAGCAAGACATATGCATATGGCCACCAGGGGAAGTCATTGTTCTTTATTAGAAAACACTCTGCAGAGGCTGAATCCAAAGCCCATTAGGAAAGGTCTTTGATTCAGAGCCCATTTGAAGAAACTAATATCCAGATAAACATAGAAGTCTCCAGACTGTCCATCTGAAGTTTAACTACGTCACATGTGAAAGGCAACTCTGTAAACATCAACACCATAGTAGCCGCTGAGCAGCCAGATGTGTCTGCACTAATATCCTGCAGCTTTACATCTGGGACTCATCGTTGGCTCCCACTTGTAGCTTTTCTTTTTTCCATTAAAAAAATAGTTGAAATTATTTGGCTTTCAAACTCTTTTTGAAAATAGGGGGAGTTTTAGTAAAATATCAGAGAAATGCCTTTGGCTTAATTTCTACAACTGGTATCATAAATCCTAAAGATACTGATCTAACTCATATCTCATTCAAGTTTTTCTGATTTTGAAGTTTCCTCTTAGATGTCTTTTTCTGCTGTGTTTGAACATGACTAGTCATATTTTCTTACTCTCAAGTGAAGAGTAAATCTCTGAACCATTATTTAAATCTTGAATGCTAAAATTATGACTTTTAAAGGGAATGTGAACACTTGTGAAGCTTATAATTCCTCATCAAGTTGGATTATCCAACCTTTAACCTAGGCAACTTTACCTGAAAATTACCAGATCTGCTCTCAAGCTGTTTGCTTCTATAGAGAAGTAAAGTCTGACATTCATCAGAGGGGAAGGCAACAACGTGTTTTTAGTGCCCATTACGTGCCAGACAACAAGCCGGGTGCTACATGAACTCATTTGGTCCTTGCAATCCTCTAAAGTAGAAGCGGTTTTTCCATTTCTATAGACAAAGAAGCCAAGGATCTTGGGGTAAGTAAGTTATTCTGAGTTACGCTGCTAATAAAAGAAGTGAGAGCCTTATTCAAAGTCTTTTTGGCTTCAAAGATCGTTTCCCTTCCAGTCCCCTGAGGCATGTGTCCAGTGTCTCCTATACACGTGTAAGGCACTGTGCCAGGTGAGACGTGGGACAAGAATGCCAACAATAATGTGTTTTGCTCTACAGGAGCTCACCCTTGCATACAGGGAGGTAAGGCACAGCTATGAATAACTATAAGGCAAGCATAAAGGCAGAACATGATATGTGCTGAGGAGGAAATGTAAACAAGGGTCCTTAGAAGCACAGAGGAGAAAAGAACCACCTTAGCTGGGTCAGGGTGTGGCAGGGAAAGAAACTGGAAGGGACTTCTAAGAAGAAATGAGACATGTACTGGGCCCTGTCAGGTGGTATGTTATTAGGAGAGAGGGGAGGGGGGAATATGGACCAGGGTACAGATAGGAGGGTTTGCTTATCTGGCTGATCTGCGGTGATTCTCCCACCTTTGGAGATCACCTCAACATACGGGTATCTGACTTCCCAGGGACAATTAGTTCACTGCAGAGTTGGTACATGACCCAGAGCAAATCATAGCCTCCAAACTGGCTGGGGCACATTTGGAACTGAGACACAGAAACCAGGGCTGGCAAATGGGTCAGGTTTTGACAGCATCCTATTGGTGAGGTCTCTCAAGCGGCCCAGACTGCTACTCTTCCTGAGTTCAGTTCTTCCTCTCTTCCACGGATCCCCTAAGTACACTCGTTCCTCTCCAATACATCCCCTCTTTTGCTCATGCTGGCCCAGAGGTGAAGTTTTCTTAACTAATGTCGTGGAGGGCATGTCTGGGAGACATTAGCTTGTAGCCTTTGGCTAGGAGGCAGGTTACATGAAGCTATAAGCAAGAAGAAGGGGTTTGAAATGCCTCTGGGCATCGTCACAGAGGCCACTGAGTACAGGCTGGTGACTTCAGACTTAGCTCTGGGGATAGCGGGGGTTATAATCAGCAACTACTAATACTACTGCTACTATGCTTTCACTGGGATGTCACATTGATTGAGCACTTTTTATGTACTAGACACTGTTTAAGTCCTATGGCCGTAAATACGTTAACTCATATAATACTCACAATAAGCATGTGAGCTCGGTATGATTACCGTCATTTTATGAACGAGGAAGCTGAAGCAAAGAGAAGCCAAGCAACTTGCCCAAGGCGACAGTGAGAGCTTATAAGGAATCTTCACGAACATCAGTCTGGTCAAAATACTTGTAAGGACTCAACAGTAGAGAGGCTGGAGGCAGAAAGACCAATTAGGAAGTTGTCTCCTAATACAAGCAAGAAGCAGAGGGCGTGGCGTAAAGTCAGGGTCAAAGCCACGTTGGTGGACTTGAGTTGGTGTCTGCAGCAGTCTTTTTGCTACAGTAAATGTGACTGGATTTGGAAACTGAATGGACTATTAGAGATTACTCAGCTGTATACGCTGGGTGACGACAAGGTTGGAGGAGGCAGTTTCCCTGTGAGAGGAGTCTATGCGGTGGGACTAAGGTCGGGAGTGTGGTTTGGGACAAGGCTGGAAAAGCCGTCATGTGGTATGTGGAGAGTGTTATTGACTCGCACTGTTCAACAATGGTCAGTGAATGACAAAGCTGACCTAATTCCCCCAAGGGACCCAGTTTCTTCCAGGGTATAACGTTTGGTGGATATTTGGCAAATATTGCAAAGTTAAAGGGTTCTTATTTGAGAAGCCCAGGAGATCAAAGCCAAGCTATGCAGAAACCTCACAGTTTCTTCCTTTTCTCCCCACTCAATTCCACTCAGGCAAACACCCTGGACATATATGCCACTTCGAGGCTCCAAGACTGTGCCTCTCTCCTTGTTTTCTTTCCTGATATTATTGAATTCCATCTAGACCCATTCAGAACTCTTCATCCCATAAGCATATAAACCTGGTCCTTTGAACCCCATAAAAATGTTATGAGTAAATAATTAAAAAAAAAGTTATGATGTAGGAGCTAAGGGTTCCAATTCTTTTTTTTTTTTCCTTTAGTAGTCTCCATGACCAGTGTGACACTTGAACTCACAATCCTGAGATCAAGAGTCACATGCTCTCCTGACAAAGCCAGCCAGCTACTCCTCCAATTCCTTTTACTCAGGCTCCATATAAAATATGCTTTTCAGAGCTACGAACCCCTTCCCTACATTGTAGATGAGCAGGTTATACAAAAATGGTGAAAAGTAAATGTGGTGTCCCCATGGTAGAGTTTCTGTCCTTCAGAGTTTCAGTTCTTAAAAAACAAAAACAAAAAAAACAACAAAAAGAACTCCCAAAAAACCCTTCACACAAACCCTATGTGGAAACAAATCCATCCAGGGTCCATATGGCCATTGTACACCGTGGCCAGGCCCGGACCAGCCCCACTGAGGCTGGGCCTGCCAATTCCTCAGGGAGCTTTATCAACCAACCTGGGAACACAGTAGAAGTTGCCTTTGAATGTGTCAGATAAGGTTCCTATGTAATTTCCAGACTCTGAACAAGTGAACGAGCCGAGCTAAGTGTTTCCTCAGGCTTGGATCTAATTTCTGTGCGTACACCCGAGCATGCTTGCAGACCACCCACACACCGGCGGCAAGTGGCTGGGCCCCTGCTTGTGTTAGTGTCTGCACAATCAGGCACTGCGAGATCTGGTGTTTGAATGTAAAAGGAGGTTCAAGAGGGGAGAACTCCAGCCCACTTGGTGGCTGATGACAGTCGGTTGTGAGGGATTACACTCCTCTTCAAACAAGCAAAGGAAACAAGAGAGAGAGAGACAAATGAAGAAACAGACTCTGAACTAGAGCGAACACACTGATGGTTACCGGGGGCGGAGGGGGTGGGCAGGAGGGTGGGGATGGGAGCACACTTATCACAACGAGCTCGGCGTCGTGTGCAGAAGTGTCGAATCACTCTATCATCCCCCTGGAACTAATACAACACTGTATGTTAACTATCCTGAAATTAAAACATTTAATCAAAATGAAGAAAAGGAGACTCAAGAGGAGAGAACACCGGCCCACTTGGTGGCTGATGACAGGTGGGCTATGAGGGATTACACTCCCTTCAGTTCTCCTGTACTCCAGCAGGATTAGATGAGGCCCTTCGCATCATCTGTTTCTCAGTTCTGTCTAGAACACACTCTTCTCCCCTCCAGTTGTCTAAATCCCAGTCGTCTAGAGACAGTTCCTGACCTCCACTACCTCTGCAGGCCTGTGCTGTCTGCCTCTTGTTGTTCGGAACTTATAACTTCTCTTGGATCCAGATTCCAGACCACATCCTAGCACACATCCTAGCTGAGTGATTTTTAGCAAGTTACTTAAGCTTCTCCGAAGCTCAATTTCCTCAGCTGCACAATGGAGATATTAATGGTTGCTGCCTCATCAGAGTTAAGAAACTGAAATAAGAAGATGCCTTCAGAGCAGTTGGCACAGTGCTTAGCACATAAAATACACAAATGAAAAGCTAGCCATGATTATTATTCCACCTTAAGAACATACACTGTAATTCCACATAAATGTCCAGAATTTATCATTCCTATTTTCCTCATTGCTAGTATGTCATTGTCACTGCAGGAAGGCACACAGCATGGCTCTTATGAACGTGGGCTCAGCGGTCAAACCCCCTGGGTTCAAACTCCGGCCATCCCACAACTAGGCTGTATGCCTCTGTGTACATTATGTAACTGCTCAGTGCTGGGTAATTGGTCATGTAGTGCAGTTGGTCTGGCTCTTCAGCAAGGTAACTTCTGCTAAATTTGCCTCCTTTCACTCTGAATACCACACTAAGGAGTATAGACTTTTTTACTTAGAGCCAACAGGGAGTTTTGATCCAAGGAGTGGAGTGATCAGATTTGCATTTCAGAAAGATTACCTGGCTAGGTGTCCAGAGATGCCCCAAGCACCACAGATGGACAAGCATGGGTTTAGGAAGACCAATGAGAAGGTTAGGAATACCACAGGCATAAGGTGATAAATACATGAGTGGAGAAATGGACAGTCTCGGTGACAGTCCAGGTCTGGGAGAGAGGGAAAGAGTTGCTAATGTTAATGATGAAAGTTAATGAAGAAAGGCCACTGGCTATATTGTGATGTCTTTAACTTAACATGCGGTAGGGAAAAAAAATTCAGATGTGTGACCATAATGAACTAGTGATTGCAGATTCTATGAGACAGCTGAGAGGACCTGTTGGTTGTGCAAAGTGGAATTCTGGAGGGTGATGGGTGGGCGATATAAACAGGCTGCCACATGGTGGCTGAACACAGAAGTGGAAGAGCCGTACCCCGGAGAGCATGTTCGGATGAAGAGTAGAGGCTGAGGGCACAGCCACGAGGACCACAGCGGTGGAAAAGAGATAAGAAGTTTTGAAGAAGTGTGAGAAGTGTGAGAAGGAGCGAAGCTGTGGAACTCAGGGGCAGGGTATTGTTTTTAGACTACGGGCATGTCTACAAGGCTGGATGACAAGGAAGTCAGGGCAGAGGAAGGCTTCAAAACAGCCACAGGGTGTGATGTGGGGAACCCCTGGGGACCTTCACGACAGCAGCTGTGCAGACCAATGGCCTGCTCCTTGTCTGGTAGCACATGGGGTTACTCAGTACATATGAATGATGGTGTGCAAACGTTCAACTGAAAGCTCAGGAAAATGAGAAAGAAAACCAACAGGCATAGAACAGAACTGCAGGCTGATAAACATATCTGAAGAAGTGGAGAGAAACACTCTCTCTCTCACTCTCTCTCTCTCTCTCTCTTTTTTAAATACAAATGCCGTAAGAACACAGCCCAGTTCGTCCCATCCCAGCAAGAATTCTTACCTGGAGAGACCAGTCCATACAAGTGACCACTCGATGCTTGGACCAATGCTCGTCGTAGAACTGACGATTGAAAGAAAGGTTCGCTCCAGCCTGGACATCCCTAGGAGGGTTTAAACATCAAAGACAAATATGATGCTTCAGAATGGGGCTTTCTCTCTGCTGTTTGTACTGAAAGAATGAGATGGCAAGAGCATGGCCCAGAACACTCTCTGAGGGCAAAGCTTCAGTTCAGAGGGTAAAGGCTGATCGCAATTCAAAGAGCGAATGGTGGCCTCCCTCCTGTATGAAATGCTGTTCCTAGCCTCACCCCGGAAAGGTTTCCACATATTACTCCAAAGCTGGTATGAAATGTCAAGTGATTTTCAGGTTCTCATCTTGACCTCTCCCTCAAGTATTCGCTTCCTTCTAATAAGTTCTGTCTGAAGCGGAATTCTCTAGAAATCTCCCAGCTCTCAAGGGAAGCCCAGCACAGCTGGAGACTCTTTGATATCGTATCAACGTCTCCTGACCTCGCCTTAGATCAGAGGTGATGCACATGCCTCCATCCACCTACGATTTCGGGCGGTCCGCAGTGTCTCCTCCCTGCTCAGCAGCAAGCGGTGTCACCATGACTCGGGCAGAGCGGAGGGCGCAGGATTCACCAGACTTATTAGACACTTAACATAGACCAGAACAGCATCTGGGGTGAGGCATATACTTTGGCCAGTGTTTTCTTGGCTGATACTCAACTGGCCACAAAACCCCCTTTGAAGATCTCTGCACCGGTCATGCATTTGCTCCACAAGACTGAGTGCAAACTGAGTAACTTGGCGCATTCTGTGCCAGCAGGTTTTGGATCTGCATAAAAAGCTGGCTACACTTCTTGGGCTTCCGTTCAGGAATTTCTCTGCTCTCACCTCTTTTCTGTTCCTCTGCTTTACCCCACTGGCGTGCACCCTGTATCACCTGCCTTCTATGGATCTTGTTGAGATGATGACTGGGCTCCAGACTACTTACTTGGGCTCCAGTCAGCTGACTGAGGACTCTTTTTTTTTTCCCCCCTACTAACTCTTCCTCAAATCTATCACTGCAAACTCGGGCAAGAGGTACACACGCCCAAGTAACCCAGAGGGAAACAGGACCTGGACAATCAATTGAGCCATACAGCAATGACTTTTTCAAAGAAAAATAAAGCATCTCATAACATGCATATTCAAAATATTATTGTCTCTTTGAAATAGCTGAATGCTGCTGCCGACTGGTTAGAACATTTTCAGAATCCCCTTTTGAAACTATTTTTGGAGCCTCTATTATACTCCCTTGAGCATCCTCAATGATAATACATTGTCCTTTGAGAATTGTATTTGAATTTTAGAAATAGTCAAAGGTCAAGTCTACTGCATAAGGCAGGTGATCTCACCTTTTCATATTTTTCTTGACCAAAAGAAATCAGTGGCTATAAAATGGCTGTATTTATTTCTTACAAAGCTCATAAAGTACCAACTCCTTGTACCCCCACGCTGATGGCTGGTTACCCTTGCCCTTTACAATACATACATTACAGTCTCAGAGAAAGTCACTGGGGGTCATTTGCTTTTACTGATTAGTTTTTGTTTTATCTTTAAATATATCCCTGCACATGAATGTCCTACAAGACATATACACACGTATGGTCATGGTATCAAAAAGAGGAGAAGGATTGCAGTCTCTGCTATTTTCTCCCCACACCAGTGGAGGGGTCCCATATCTCATGTTTATTTCATTTGGCTTCCTGTTTGCTTAGACATCAAAAATAGATCTACTGGATATAACAAAGCACCTTTGCTGCTTATAGGAATGTTTTCTCAGAGGACAATGTACGTGACTCTGCCAGTCTCTATCACCTGGACTATTCCCCAGATATCAAGTTCAAAAGCATTTCACGGAAGCACCTGATAATTACAGGGAAACACTAAGCCAGAAGTTATAACCAAAGCCTTTAGTCAAAGCTGTTCAGCAAGATCAACCCTGGAATTTCATCCTCCTCTGATTTGTTTGGTTTGGGATTTGCCTAGTCAATACATAAGTGAATTTAGAATCAACAATAATTTATTGCAAGGTTTTTTTGTCTTGTTTTGTTTTTAAATGCACACAAGAAACTAACCCATCTTTTTCCTCTAACTCTCGACCGCTGTAGTCAAAGAAGATGTCGGAGTCTTCTGCCAGTGCTCTTTCAATTACCCGGATTGTCCGATCAAAAAAGATGAGGAATTCCTCTGAATGAAGGATCTGCTGTTTTTCTTCCTCTGTCAGCTCTCGTGGAGGGGCTTTTTAAGTAAGAGATTGTCAGGAAAGAAGAAAAGTACAATTAAAACATTTCAAGAGGGATCCAACTCTTGAGATGACTTACCAAAAGAGTGATCAGATGGTGAAATAAAGCATTATCAATATTGATTCCAACTTGCTCCTAAGTTCACACCAAAGGTGTTTGCAGATGACCCCCTCATAATTTTACAAAAATATTTCATATCTGGACGAATCACTATTTCAAAGAGTCAACAAAGAGTGCAAATGGAACTAGACTTGTGTTTTTTAGTAACCAGTTCTGAAAGTTACCTGCTTTAGAACTGAACTTGACAAACAGCTCAAAGAGTATGTAATAGAAAACTCGATAAAACTATGTATATTGGATATGACTGAAAGCTGCTCATGTGAAATAACTCAGAACTGTCTATAATATGATCTGGGAGGCAGCCTTCCTCGCTCTCCTAGACACATCTGTTCTACCTCAGAGCGTCAGCTGGGAAGGCTGACTAGCTCTTATACAGGTTCCACTCATACCCAAAACGTGTCCTTCTAAACCTGCTTTCACCTGAGATATCCCCTGCTTTTAGACAAACATACAGAACAAATAAATGCTTCTATAAGACACCTCGAAATTGCTTTTATGCCTTTCTTTCTAGCCTGATGAATCTTATTAAACTAAGTTTGAAGATAAAAAATGAGGCAAAGAGAGATGAATTAACTGGCTTATGTCACGGTGTCTGAAAGTCAGCTCACCTCGGAGTCCCAAGCAGCCGACACAGCCTAGTGGCAAGGCTTCCATACAATGAGAAAGGATTAGGCAATCCCCCAGACTGAGAAGCCCTCAAACATAGAAACTGTCCGCTGAACCTTTGTGGTTCTTCAGGAGCCCCAGTTCAGCTCCTGTGCAGACAGCATTCAGTAGATGTTTTGTGGATTACTCTCTGGAGGACCAGAAGCTTCTGGAACTGAAGGGACAGGAGGAGGGCACTGCACTGCAGTCAGCACTGAGTCCCTAGCGGAGTCTCTCACTGACGGGCTTGCCCAAACACATGCCCAACCATCCCTGTCAGCCTTTCTACCTGGCCACCCGGTCAGAGGAGCCATGTAGGGTGTGGTCCGAGGTCAGCAGAATGTGTTACATTATTTGTTTCAGTTAATGGTATCGTGAAGCCACTGGCCTACGAAATCTGCGCTGTCAAGAAGAATGGCTGCAGAGCCAAGACCGTGGATCTCAAGTCTTTAATGTATGGAATGTCTCCCCCCTTCCGACCTCCACTTCCCTGCCCCCGCCCACGATGCCGGGGATCAGGAAGGACTCCAGAATCTGTATTTGTACAGGAAACTAAGATTATGATACTGTAGTTGGTCCACACCTTGCACAAAGCTCTCCAAGGTCATATGATAACAAAACGGGATTCATCTACTACAGCAGAAGATTGTCTCCCAGAACAGTTGGCGCCCCATAGCTTGTGGTAGCTCCGCGCATAGTTAGAAATATCTCTTTGCTGCTGAAGCCTCCAGAGACCTTAATAAGCCAATGCATACTGGGACTTTCCAGGAACCTCTGTGGAGCAAAACTGAGCAGAGGTGCCTACACACTAGTTTGAGAAACTGGGGAAGCAGCAATGTGCAGATGTAAGTAATAAGGACTCCACGAAACCAGCCGGGAATCCAGCGTTGCCACTGCTCTTCGCTAACTTTGCTTCTTTAGCCAACTAAAGCTCTCCGAGGAGCAGTGTTTTCTATAAAATGCGGCAATGATACCTAAACATTAAGTCTCATTTAAGGGTTAAGGATGAATATACTGGGCAAATAATTAAGTATTCAATAAATAGTAATTAAATAGTCTGCTTTCTGTTTTAGAAAATGAGGCGTTTGAATTTTTTCACCCTTGTGTAAGTTCAAGAAAACAGATAACCAGGCAAAACGAGAAAAAAAAAAAAATCTACAAAATGCTAGGTTCATTTTGGTTTGGTAGTAGTGTTACATAAATAAATAAGCTTCACCAAGAGGGTATCGTAGAGCTAAGAAAAGTGCCTTATTTTAAAAGCCTTTTTCAGTCTTGGTTACTGTTAATGGATGACTTGAGACCCATCTGAAACTAAGCAGAGAACTAGGACCTTTTTGTTTTTATTCTTTTTTAAAATAATATTTAAAATATCTATTCTCCTCTCTGTTTATCTTTTTGAGTAACTTCTATTTCACCTGTATCTTTCCTTACAGGTCCACTACCTTGAATAAAAAATCGTATCTATGTCATTTTCTGTAATTTTTTCTTCCCTGTAGCTTATTGTCACTTTGATCTCAGCTTTCAAGACATACAACTTCTTCTCTAAGAGAAACACAAATGGCTGATCAAAGTGTATTTGCAGAGGCCAAGTTCAGGTAGGTGAAGCAGTAGCCTCTCCAGATATTATGTTTGACAATACAATATTTGGCTTGAAATTAAACTGCTACTGAAGCAAAACAAAGGATATATTTTATATTAAGCTTTGATGTCTAACAGGGATCAAATGACACGATTTGTTAGTATAAAATAATAAGATGCATGTGCAGACAAGTACTTTTTTGAAAGTCATAAACAATATTCAACGTAGGAATTAAATAGGCCATAGTCATTTTTGATAAACCCCAAGACCTCCCATATTTAAAATCTTTAAATTGATAAGTGTTGCTACAATGTAATGAAAACATAATGGAGTATCCAGGAACCACGACCAAAAGCTGTATTCAGAGGCAAAACCTCTCCAGACACCATATTTCATAAAAGAAAATTGGTTGATTAATGGAACCTACAAGGTTCAAAATGCAAGCACAAACAATTAGAATCACAATCGTATTACTTCAGAATAGACCCCAAATTCTCCCTGATATATCTGTTTCCGCAGCTTTTCTCTATCCCTAGCACCTAATGAATTATTTTCAACATGTTCACTGTATAAAAAGGTGTGAATTAATTTAATAACAAAAGGCATACCAGACCAAAATGTAAACATTGATAATCATTGATTTTTCTCTTGAAGTTAAGCAGAAAATGCTATTATTGCAGGTCTGTTTTTTGTTTTTTTTTTGCAACACAAAATATGGAGTATTTCTGCCAAGAGCTAACAATATTTTATGCATGTAAAATGCCCTTCTTAAAAAAAATTACTTATGAAAAGTCAAACACATGGATATAACTAACATATGATCCAAATGACAATTTTGTACTTGCCCAAATTTACCTGAACAGTTACATTTAGCTCAAATCACAATTATGAAGAAAATGTACTGAATTCGTGAAATTTGAAGTTTAGAAGATGGCCTAAGTCTATGACTTTGTGGTTGCAAGATTAAAATCTAGTATACATTTTATGTTAGGGTCTATTTTGCTTCTTTTTCTTTAAAAAATGTGAATTTCTCACTTCATATATGAAAATACTTGTGTATGTGTCTTTATGATGATTCTATCCTATTTGCTATACTTTCTTGGGTTTTTTAATTGAGTTAATAGGTACTTCTCTAGTTTGTTGTTGTTTTACTCTACTTACTATATTCTGTTTTGCAGTTTAATTTTTTTAAATACAAAATTCATAATGAAATTCACAATTCATATTAAGTATATTACAATCCTTGAGGTCAAAAACTATTTTAAAAATACTAATTTCAGAAATGCCTTGTTTTCAACAATGCAGCTTTGAGTTTCAATATAAAAAATTAAATCTTTCAAATATTTTTCAAGAGTTTATGTAAAAGACAAAAAATAAAGAAGTTAATCCACATAGCTTAAATCTCAAACCTGATTAGACAGGGACAGTGGCTCTTCTGGGAATTTTACAGTGAAATCATTTCATAAACAGGAGCAAGAAAACCAAACCAAACTGATGAAGAAGGCTCTCCTTCTCTGAAGTTAATGTGAGATTTATGAGACGATGTGTGTTTACAAGAGTTAGGTTTCCGAACTTCGAACACGAAGATACCAGAAAGCTCACATGTAGAAATCGCCTAAAATTTGATTAAAAGCTAACTTGTATCTGCCGTTTGTGCTACTCCATTGTGGAAAAAGGAGTGAAAACAGGAAAATATCAAACCCTTATTTCTTTACTATTTAGTGCATTTTGATATCACATAGGCAAAATGTCAAAACCTAGTGAGCACTGATTTTTTTCCCCATCTCCTGTTTACCATTTTTTTTTTTAACTCCCCCAAAGTCCAGATTTCTCAAAAATGTGTTTCCTGGTCTAAAACCGTGTATGTCAAGTTTCAGCTCAGAGCAAATTTTTACGGCTGAGTAATAAATCGCTGAAACTCAAGGTTCGTAAGGGAAGTGCTGACACAGCCCTAACGACCATACAGCCGTGGGAATGGCGCCACGATTATATCTGCTGGAGATTCTTGAAAAAGTTTGCAAAATACTGTCTTACTTAAAAAAAAAAAAAATGCCAGAGAGTTTGATGCCAACATAAACATGCTTTTAACCCATTATGTGCTAATTTGCAGAAAAGCCATTAATAGAGAAAAAGGCACATGGCGCAGCAGTCCAGGAAATGTACTTCCAACTTCTTTTTGACTTTTAACAGGACTTTAATCAATTCCATGAAGCCTGAGCAACAGTTGAAACGAGAGGGTGTTTTCTCTCTCTGAACTTAAGAAAGGGGTTGCACTGCTTTGCCAGAGAAGACAGTTTGGGGAATGGGGGGTGGAGGGGGCAGGAGGGAATCTGTGCCAAGACACACAAAAGACACCATGGCTCCTTATCACCCAGAAGCGCTTGAGGATATTTTGCAAAAGGAAAAATCTTTTCTCTATTTATTTTAATAAATCCTGACTTATTTTATCTCTTGCTATACCTGTGTTAATGATATTCCATTTGCCAGCTTAAAAAAATGTTCTTAGAATTTTAGGCAAAATCTCTTCAATCAAATGCATTTAGAGTCCCTCAGAAAATGATAACTCTTGCACCTTCTGTGGATACTACAGTTAAAAAGGCTGCCTCTACTCCCTGCCCTTAGTTGTAGCCCAGAACTTGACAGGAATCAAAATCACTTAATGCCTGAGCCAGATAAAGTGAGCATATATGGCCATTATGTACCCATTCTTATAAAAGTCCCCAGTGACAACTATGTGCCACACACTCTGGCAGAGGCACAGGCATCTTTAGAATTTAAAAATTAGGGAGCTTCTAATCAGACTTGTGTTGATCTATACTTGGGACACGGAGCAGGGAATGTGGAAGAAACTTTTCAATCTATGCATACCTCATTTGTCAGTAAGAACGATGATTTCAAAGTTCTTTTATCTCTGAGGGCCGAGAATCTCAAAGGGATACAAAATTAGATTTTGAGGGAATCGGCACCTGTAGTATTTCTTGTCTTCCCTTGTCTTTTTTCTTTTTGCTTTCTTGTTTTTGAGACCCAGTGCTATGATAGGATGACACCGTCATGGTGAAATATAGTCTTTGGAGTCAACTACAAATCCTGGATACATTCTGTCTTCTTGGATAAGTTTTTAAACCTCTCCCTTCCTGGTTCTTCACCTGGAAAGTAGGGATAAAAATAGTATCGGCTTCCAAAGGATGTTTGAAGGTGTAGATATTAATATTTCTAAGGGGCTTAGGAGAGAGCTGAGTACACAGGAAGCCCTTAATAACTGCTCATCATGGTGATCACTGGAACATGGAGTCGTTGCTCTTCACACAGGCAGAGACGTGGAAGAAAACTGAACAGCTGAGTTATTAGTAAGGACCACTGTTAAAGTTTCTGTGTAGCTCACGTGAATACACTTCAGAATTTATGAACAAAATAATTAGCGCTGCTTCTTCCCTTTACTGTTATCGTTGGGAATACACAATGCAGTGGACAAAGTCACATGACAAAGTAACAAAGTACCAATGGGTAACAACTATCTTATTCTCTCACCATTTAGTAATAATTTTACTGGACTTGTGAGTGGACTTGTTGCTGCATTTGTGGGTGACTTCTATTTTATTTACTTTCATTGGTCAAAAAAATAAATGACCCTTGCTTTGGGGATTACAGTTTATGGTACTAAATATAACGTACTGAACAACCATAGAAAACCTTCTGCAGAGGGAGTGTGTATTTAATATTTACTCACCAGGACAGCCTCTCATGTTGCTAAATGATACTAATAGTAAAATGATGACTAATTTATCTCCCACACCATACCATACCTTCCTTCACCTCCTGTTTTTGGTCTTGGTTTTCCAGTTCTGAATCATGGCCAACTTTAGGCTCTACCATTTCCTCATCTTCCTCATCCTCTAGAAAAGAGAAAAAGAAAAATGCATTGTTTTGTTTCCTTCAAATCAAAGCCTTTGGTTGATGGTGGGAGGTAGGGGCAAAGGGTAAAGTTCCAATCATTTAGGGCAACTTCTAAGTAAATCAGTCCTCAATGAATGCCCAAGATATATGTCCATGAATATATGAATAAATTATGTCCAAAAGGGGCCTCTTTGAAAGTCCCCCAAGCTGCTGAGAAAACTGCCCGAGTCGGCACCTGCCAACAGCCATCTCCAGGCCCTCACCACATGGGCTGTCTTGGAATTGCCTCTCTGACCTCTGAAGCTTCTTCAGAGATGACCCAGGAACAGATCTCAAAATGTTTCCACCTGGGGCACATTCTCTACAGGGAACACCTGCTGTACAGACGACTCATTTCCAATTTAATTCTCACCAAATTAATTTGGTTTTGACCTACAGGAAAGGGTTAAATACAGGTCTGACCCCAGGTCAAATGCCATTGGCAAGTAAACAACCAGGGGGGAGAGTCCCAAAAGTCACTGCTGTTGGCCTGGGAGAAAGCAACCAACCCCAAATGGCATTTACACATTTAGAGCAGCTCATGCATTAATGTGAATTTAATGAGCACCAACAAATGGACCAGTCCGCTACCACCACCAGATGTTACAGTGCCCTTCCTGCCCTATGCAAATGTGTGCTCATTGTGTCTGCTCTCAACCTGCCTTTCTTAGAGACCCCTTTCACTGCAGAGCGCTTGAAACCATCAGTCACCATGTACACGATGTAGGGGAGAGTCAAGGTGTCACAAGAAAATCCAACATATAGAAATAAAATGCTACCAAAAATTAAAACTTGCTCTCAGAATTTTTAAGTATATTATCTTCTGTCCTAAGTATTATATTCACTGGAGACTATTGATTTCATTGGTTCAAATGGAATTTAAAAGAAATGAATTCACTGACTCCCTGCCCATTCATTCATACATTCACTCATCCATCAAATATTTACAGACTTTTTGTAAGCTCTCAAGTGCTGTAGATAGTCCCGTTTCCATGATAATAAATCCTGAGATTTACATGAACTCAAAATTTCAGCCGAAATAAATATGTGTAGCCTGAAAAGCAACTCCAAAAATCTGGCTACATCAAGCAAGTGATTTGGGAAAGAAAAGCAACTTAAAAAATTTGGATGTGTAGAGTATGGCACTGCAAATTAGATACTAAAATTTTTTTAATGTGTGTATTCATTGCAAAAAAGGTACTCCAAGTGCATGTGTATAGAATGTGGAACCAAGCTCATTACTTTATAACCACACATTGTACGCATCAGAAAGAATGTGAAATGCTTTTAAGGAAAATGGTCATTTATTATTTAACACGTGCAGTAGAGAGTTGCACTTGAAATTTTGAAAAGAACCCTGAGTCACCCTGATTTTTAGACAAATAAACCTTTAAGGTTATAAACAGCACATACGGGTCCTTATCTATACACAAAGGTATTACAGCTATCTACCCATTAAAAACCTGCTTGGAAAGTCTCAAAACAGTCACCTGGCCATTATGTACCCTAATCCAACAACCTAACACAAAGCCTTAGAAGGCACTAGCTGAAGGCAAGTCTCCTCTTTTTGTTAAACCTTGGTTGGAGGGGCAATCTTCAAAAGGCCACTCATTTGCTAGAAAGTTGCTCTATTTCTGAACCTTCAAGAAACATTTCCTTAAACTAATGGATTTAGCAGCAATGCCCCGACACTTAAAAATGCAAGTAAGTATAACAACTACACAGGTGATAGGGCCTGCCTTTATTATGGGTAGAACCTACCCCCCCAGCCCCAAACATCTTTATGTTGAAGTCTTAATCCCTAATATCTCCGAAGGGGACCAGGTTTGGAAATAGGTTCATTGGAGATATATTTAATTAAGACGAGATGGGACTGGAGTAGGGCGGGCTCCTAATCCAATATGGCTGGTATCCTCCTAAAAAGGGGAAATTTAGACACAGGCTCACACACAGGGAGAATGTCATGGGAAGCTGAAAAAGATGGGCACGATGCTTTCAGCAGCTAAAGAGTGCCCAGGATTGCCGGCAAACCATCAGAAAGCAGGGAGCAGGCACAGAACAGCGTCTTCCTCACAGCCCTCGGAAGGAACCAACCCTGCCCAGGCCTTGCCCTTAGCATGCTGGCATCCAGGGCTGAGACATTAGGTTTCTCCTGCTTAAACCACCCCAACGGTAGCACCTTGTTAGGGCAGCCCGAGCAAACTAATACAACGGGTAACTTGCCTTCCTTTCTAGGACCCTAGGATCTGATGGAGGAGATACAGGAGCTGTGCGATAACACCTAGGGCAATCATGAATGCTTTATCTGCAAAGTCTAATTTGTTTATCAGAACTTGGTTCCATTGACCTCATTTTCTAGAGGACGAGACAGAAAAATCTGCCCCAAAGAAAGCTCCCAACCACATCAAACTTCAAGTTTGGTCTGGTTCTGCCTATTTTCAAGTCTAGGAGCTTCAACAATCAGGCATACTACCCCCTCACCCACAGCCTGACGTGCACTAGAAAGGCGGCCTTGGAGAAAGGCTCACAGTAGAAGCAGGTATGGTGTGAAGGCGGCAGTGTAAGGAAGGGTTTGCATAGGCTCTTCGTGGGGGACACAGCATGGCCTCAAGGAGAACGGCTCTTTACCTCCAACGGGCAAGTACACATAAGGCTCAGCTGTGGAGAAGTTAGGCTTCACATCCTTGAGAGCTGGAGATGATGGGTTGTTTTATTTATTAAGAATAAATGGCCGCTGCATCCAAACTCTATGCTCGTCTTCATTTTGGAATCCACTAGCTCGAGACCAGACCAGTGATGTCTAACACAGAGCACTAATTCCTCTGACTAGACGCATTCACAAGTTAGGTGGCGAGCAGCACCTCAAGGGAAGTAATTGATCTGGGATTGAGGCTGGAGTCTACCTCTTGCTAGACCCTTGATTTTACATAATTCATAGAAACTCACTGAGGCCCTTTTTCTTCATCTTCTGAATTGGGGATAATCATTCTTTTTTAGAACACAATGTTGTAAGAATAACAAAATAAAATAATTGATGGGAATTTGCTTTTTAAACCAAGAGAGTTGGGGATACCCATACACGGAAACCTTCAAACAAAGGTTGCATTAGTTGTAGGTCAACCAAATATTTATCGGGCACCTACTTATGTACCAGGTGCTGGGAATACAAGAGGGAATAAGAGAAACCAAACCAAATCAAACAAAAAAACCCTGTGCTCATGTAGCTTCTACTATCTGAGGTAGGGGAGAAAAACCACAACAAATAAATAAAACACATATTGTATCAGATAAATATTATGGAGAAAGAGAAAGCCAGAAAAGGGGATTGGGCATGCTGGTAAGGGGAGGAAGAGTTGAAGTTTAAATCAGAGTGACCAGGAAAGGCCACATTGAGGTGACATTTCAGCAAAACCTTCAAGGAGTTAAGGGTGAAGATCTTTTGGAAGACTGATAATAACAGATTCTTCCATCTCATTCTGTGGATCCAAGGGGTATAATGGGTCAAGGTTTAAGTGAACTTATCTGTTCCACTGATGAAAGAATTGCCAAAATTAATTTTGCTTTTATCAGAGCGATCTGTTTGTACATTACCATTTTCTAGTTCTTAAAATGAAATCAGTTTCACTGCATGACTTGAGTAAGTCAGCTCTAAGTAGTATCAAGTTCTCACCTTTTGCAGGTATAAGGGTCTTTATTTTAGACATTAAGTCCTGGAAGAGTCAAAATGACAGAAAATTGTCTATAAGGGGGCACCTGGGTGGCTCAGTTAGTTAAGTACCAGACTCCTGATTTCGGCTCAGGTCATAACTTAGGATCAGGGGATTGAGCTCCAGGTTCAACACGGGCTCCACGCTCAATGGGGAGTCTGCCCGAGATTCTCTCTCTTGCTCTGCCTCTGCCCCTCCTCACACCCTCTCAATAAATAAAAAAACAAATAAAATCTAAAAAAAAAAAAAAAAAAAAAAGAAAATAGTCTAAAAGGGCTTGGCTATACACAGGGCTAGGTTGGGGAGAGAAATGTGTTATTTTACACATGAAGTATGCGGGGAAACCGCAGGTTATCTAACTATTTAAATAGAAAATTCTTCCCCAGAGAATATGTTTTTGATGAATTTAAAAAAAACCAAACACTTACTGTGTTTATAATATGGGCAACGTCCCACAATGAAATACTATGAATAACAGAGAAGCAATTTTTTTTAAAAAAGGAAAAAAGAATACCTGACCTTTTAAAGTGGTTACAAACCAGTTTGTAGGCATTAATTTTTAGTGGCCGCAGAATTCTTTGTCTATCAGCCTTTTAAAGACACAAAGTAAGTGTTTCAGTAGATTTGTTCAGGAAATAAAACACAAGAGACTGGTTCGTTTCTCTGCATACTGATATGTTTGCCTTGCTCAGCAAAGAGAGTCTATTTTTCTTTAAGACTCTGGTTTCCTTTCTGGGGCAACTGGAATTACTTCTGTTGAAACCGTTTTCAAAACAGTTAAATAACTTTAAAGAAAAGGATTTATGTAGACCCGCTACAGACTACTGATATATGAGTTGTGCCACTAGTTCATACCCGGTTACATTTCCTCTGAGATTGGAGGGAAAAAAATTACCACCCATGTATGGTTTCCTGTACCAGGTCCACACGAGAAATTAAACTAGTGGCAGAAGTTAATTACCTGTCAGTCTGCAGGGCTAAGTTCAAACAATGGCATCTTTTAAACACTTTATTTTATTTAGCACCTGGGTTCCGCCATCTACAGCGGCTGCATTCAGTCCTTCATAGTTGGGGAAATCTTTGGTAACCACTGTCCTCCTCCTTACGATTTCTGAAAAGCCCAAGAACGAAGAGTTGCGTGTCCAGCGGCGCTCGCACGCGACACACTCAGTGCGAGGCCCAAGCCTCTGTGCGAGCTCCCGCAGTGCTGTTTGCTCTGCCAACCTGCGTTTCAGAATGAAGCCAGAGCTCCA